TACCCCCCCCCAAGGTGACAGATTTCGGCTTCGCCAAGCGAGTCAAAGGCCGGACCTGGACGCTGTGCGGGACCCCCGAGTACCTGGCGCCCGAAATCATCCTCAGCAAGGTGAGGGAGGTTGCAATCATCCTGATGGACCCCGGGACCCCCTTGGGCCACTCAGTCACCCTCCAACTGTCCCCCATGTCCCCTTCCCCCCCAGGGGTACAACAAGGCTGTGGACTGGTGGGCCTTGGGTGTCCTCATCTATGAGATGGCAGCTGGCTACCCACCCTTCTTCGCCGACCAGCCCATCCAGATCTACGAGAAGATCGTCTCGGGGAAGGTAACAGAGGGGGTAACTTGTCTGGCCTGGCGGGGGGGCCCGGCCTAGGGTGGGAAAACGCAGCGGGGGGGTAGGAAGGGGCTGGTAGTGCAGGATGTGCAAGGCGCTGTATGTAGTCTTCTGTAGTGGGTGCTCTATTAGGTGTACTACGGTAGCACTTTGGTAGTGCGTGTTACTAGGAATAATATGGGAGCTGTGGCTTGCACAGCTTAGGTTGGGGGAACTGGGAGAGGGACTGGGGGGACTGGGAAAGGAAGTAGGGGACGGGGAGCACAAGGAGACAGACTGGGAATGGGCCTGGGGGTACTAGAAGGTTGGGGAGAGGGACTGGGAGAGGGACTGGGAAGAGTGGGAGGTCAAGGAGAAGGACTGGGAGAGGGACTGAGGGACTGGGAGTGGGGTGGAGAGAACTGGGACAGGGATGGGGTAGACTGGGAGAGTGGGGTTGAGGGACTGGGAGGGGGATGGGGGAAGGGGATGAGGCACTGGGAGAGTGGGGGTGGAGAGACCTGAGAGAGGGACTGGGAAGATGGGGAGAGGGACTAGGTGGGACTGGGAAGATGGGAAGAGGGCCTGGGAGAGGGATGAAGAGGACCAGGAGGACAGGCAAGGGGACTGGGAGAATGGGGAGAAGGACTGGGGGGACTGGGAAGATGGAGAGAGGGACTGGGAGAGGGGATGAGGAGGACAGGGAGGAGGACTGGAAGAGCAATGGGGAGACTGGAAGGATGGGGAGAAGGACTAGGAGAGCGGGGAGAGGGACTGGGGGGACTGGGAAGATGGAGAGAGGGACTGGGAGAGGGGATGAGGAGGACAGGGAGGAGGAGGGGAGACTGGGAGGATGGGGAGAGGGACTGGGGAGACTGGGAAGATGGAGAGAGGGACTGGGAGAGAGATGAGGAGGACCGGGAGAATAAGGAGGAGGACTGGGAGAGCAATGGGGAGACTGGGAAGATGGGGAGAGGGACTGGGAGAGACCCGGGCGCTGCTTCCCCCACCCCACCCACGAGCAGAGCGGAGCCGGGCGGCGCGCCGGGGCGAGGGGCCCAGGCGTCCGGCTGACCCCGCGCCCCCAGGTGCGGTTCCCCTCCCACTTCAGCTCCGACCTCAAGGACCTGCTGCGCAACCT